TTCCTGGGGCTCCAAACGGGACTGTCCCCTGTTCAAACTAGTGGGCATAGGTTGCACATCTGTAATCCAGCACTCAGGAGGCTGAGGCAGGAGTATCACTGTGAGTTTGAGGCCACCCTGGGCTGCAGAGTTAGTTCAGGACCAGCCTGAACTACATAGTGAGATCTTGTCTCAAAAAAAAAAAAAAAAGTGAAACCAGAAGTTATGATATGACTCAGCAGTTCCATGTCTCCAGACTTCCAGAACTGCTACAGAAAGTGGCAAAACTGGTGGGAAGTGTGTGATTGAAGTAGGGGAAGTACTTTGAGTGGGATTAATGGCAGTGTGTCTATCACTATAAAACCTTTTTTTGTTGCTTTTCTTGACAGGGTCTGGCTGTGTAACCCAGGCTGGTCTCAAACTCGTGTTGATCCTCCTGCCTTAGCCTCCTGAGTGCTGGCATTACAGGTGTGTGCCACCACGCCTGGCTTCTGTAATACATTTAAAAAAAATTTGACCAGGTGTGGTGGCACATGCTTGTAATCCCAGCACTCAGGAGGCTGAAGCAGAAGGATCATTGAGTTCGAGGTCAGCCTGGGCTATGTAGTAAGTTTAAGGTAATCTTGAACTGCATAGTGAGACCCTGTCTCCAAAAAAAACCACAGCCCAAACCCCAAAAAACCATTCACCGTATTTTTGATCATCATTTTTGTCTTGCTTAAAAAATTAGATGGTGATAAGTCTACCTCATTTTAAAAGCTTTATTATTTCTGTAAAAATGGTACATACATGTTTAAAAACTATTTAAATGAAATGAAAAAGTTCGAGAAAGATTAAAAAGCCCATCTCTTCAGTAATTGTTACTAACATTTTGGTTCAGAGCAGAGGTCTGTCTGATGAGTGATGGAGAAAGTTGCCGGACTTTTTTCTAAAACAGGGAGAAACCCCACACCTATTGGTGAGAGCGCGGCAGATGCCTGCCTGCCGGCGTCGGCACACAAGTGTGTATATGAACCAAATTGCATGGGCCTCACTGCCTGTTCTACGTGTTTCTGTTGCCTGACTTTTTCACGTAAAAATGCCATTCACCCTTTAAAAATAAGTAGCAGGGAAAAAAACCCAAGAAAACAAACAAGAATGAAAATGAGTAACTGCAGACAGCTCCGTTGTATGGGTGTGTATACTAGCTCATCCAGGAATCTTCCATGGTTGGAGTTCCCAGGACGAATGGAGTGTCCCACAGATTTCGGTGGGCTTTGCACTGCCACCACGGCAGCACACAGAATCCAGTGTTCACTCCTTGGACTCGTGCATTCTAAGTGCCTGCCGGGGGTGTGGCTGGAAATGCTGGTCCATGGCTTAAGTCCTTGGATTAAGTATCCGACAAAGTAGGTCTTGGCCCAACAGAGTGGAGGCCAGCTGTCCTAGGGGCCAGACAAGACTTGACGTGGGCAGAGCCAAGGGGAATTGGCGTGTCCAAGAGTGTTGGGCAAGGGCTGCTGCTGAAGGGCGAAATGTGCTGGAGAGCTGCTGGCCACCAGACGTCCCCAAGCCAGGGTGTCAGAGGTCAGTAGAGGAGAGAGAAAGTTGGACTCCAGGAAAGGAGAGGCCTCAGGCAACAGGGGTGTGACAGGCTGTCTCTCCCCTGACCTTTGCCTAGAGCCTCCAGAGGCCTGATGCACCTTTAGGCCCTGCCCTGGTGTCCGCCGGGAACTCAGGGAAGCAGTCTGCCATCCTGGGGATGGGCCGTGCCTAGTCGCTGAGGCCAGAGTCTGCTTTGAGGGCAGCAGGCTGATGATCCTTGGGCCAACTCACTGCCTGTGAGGCCTGCCTGGGGAACGCTGGCTTTCTCTCGCCAGGGAAGGAGCCCCATGTGGGGCCTGGGGCAGGCCTGCATGCCCACGTGGTGTTAAAGCCCCTCTGGCGTGACAGGCCCTCTGTGATGTCTGTGCTGGCCTCTGTCCCCTGCTTCATGGCCTCCCCACCTTTCTGCAGCATGTGTCTTAGCTGCTGTTGCCCCTTCTTTTTTTGCCTGGGCCTCTGCCCTAAGCTGTCCCCTCTGCTGGGAAGGCTCCTGCCCCTCAACTTTTATTCAGGGCTCTAGGGTGTCCTCCTTGAGCCTCACTGGGTGGTCTGGTGTGATCTTCCTCAACTTCCCCAACAAGCTCTGATCCTCTCTTGGCACCTGTGCCCAGCCCCTTTGGAAGTGGGGTTTTTTGGGTGTTTTCCTGACCTTCTCACTGGCTTGCAGTCCAAGGGAAGGGCCTGACATAGAGGGATCGTGCTGCAGGAGGCAGGTAAGGCACATGCTGCCCCATCCTGCCTCATTGCTGCCCATGTTCCAGGCCCTGCTCAGCTCTGGGTGTCTTACCTCTGGCTGGGACCCTGTGCCCTCCTGGGTCCTGACCCCCAGGAGATAGGCTCCTTCTGGCCCAGTTGGCAGCCTGATGAGTACTTGGGATCAGTTCTGGACAGCCCTTGTGAGAACCTGAAAGTCACATTGCCCCCTGGGGGACTTGTCCTGGTCCTAGCTGTTATGGTTTATGTCTGTGTGTCCCCTCCAAAGCCTCATGGGACCATGGGGCAGGCTATTAGAGTTGAATGATTGTGGGTGTGAGAGCTACACCCGCCCTGGGGTGGATAGTTTGCATATGTAAGGGAGAGGAAGAGAGTGCTTGAGGACATTCCTCCCCCATTCTGCCCTGGTGTGTGCTTGCAGCTTAGCTGTGTTCTGCCACCCTGAGCTGTAGCTCTTTGCCATGGGCCACTCTGCCTTATAATCTGCCAAGTACGGACTGAAACTTCCACGAACTGTAAGCGAAATAAACCTTTCCTTCCTTAATTTTGGGCGTCAGGTATTTTGTCCCAGCAGCGAGAAAAAAGTAACCAAGACACTAGCCCTGCCAAGGGCTTAGTTTGTCAATCTGTAAAATAGGTGGGGGGCTGGGGATTTAGCTCAGCGGCACAGTGCCTGCCTGGCAAGTGCAAGGTCTTGAGTTCGATTCCTAGTATCAGAAGAAAAACAAAAAACAAACAAACAAACAAAAATAGGTGGGCTGCTCAAGCCTCTGTGCACTGGGGGGAGGGGCATCTGGCCAGTGAGAAACAACTGTAATCCTCTCCAGTCCCCTACGCCTGGCCTGCCTCCCCCCCTCTGTACCTTCCTCCCCCAGGGCAGAAGTCGGACAGTGGGCATTCGAACACTGATGGAAACAGTGCCCGGAGTTCTAGCCATAAACCACCCCTCTAAGCAGTGTGGGCAGCTTTAGGAAGCATCTCCTGGGGCAGCATTTCTTGGACCCTCTGTGTGTGAGGAAAGCTCAGGGTCTCAGAGCGGTTCAGGCCTTATGGTCCTTCCCTGTTACAGAGGGTAAACCAAGGCCCAGAGAGGGAATGGGTCATGTCCCAGCCACCCAGATGATCCGGGCAGCATGGAAGGTTCCAGTGCCACAGGGCTGCCCAAGAGGGCCCCAGGTGGGCTGGCACAGGCTCCCCCATGAGGTACAGACTCCTCTTCCTCCCTCCTTGACACCCCTTTGTCCCCCGTTGGCTGCCTGCCCCCTGAAGCCCGCAGGGCTGTGGAGCCTGTCTGAGTGCTCTCTGTGCAGGGTGAGCTTTGTTTCTGTCCTTGCCATCTCCCTAGCCTCCCCCCGCCCCGTGATGGCGCACAGGCCAGGAGGAAGTTTGGTTGCCTGTCCCCCTAGTCAGTGTCCCCCAACAACTTGCAGCTGCTCCCAGCATCTCAGCTGTAATCGGATTGTCCCTTGGCTGGGCTGGGTGGCTCCTTCCACGCCTGTGGCCTGTTACCTATCTGAAGGCCACACCACATGCATCCTCTGGGGTTAGCTGGGCTGGAAGGAAGACCCCCGGCTACAGCCCTAACCCACCCTGGGCTGAACTCTGGATGTGCAGGTGGGCCTGTCGGCCAGCTCCCAGATGGAATGAGGGAGCCAGGCAACTTGGCTGGTTTTCCCTCTGTGCTCAACAGTTCAGCATCCAGTGACCCAGCCCAGCCCTCTCCTCTGCCTCCAATGGCCTCAGCTGCTGGCTCTGGGCCAAGGGTGCCTTTAGCTCCTTGGGTCTCAACTAAGGTTTGCTCTCAGTTTGCCAGGAATTGATCAGGCTGTGGGTGAGTGGGAGCCTGGGGCTGCCCACCTCTGCCTGTGTGCCGCTTAGAGGACTACTCCCTGTCTGTCCCCAGGCAGGCCCTTGCTGTCACCTCACCCTTTACTGTGGAGCCTGCTTGATTAGGCTTCTCCCCCACCCTTTCTCTTTTCTTTTCTTTTTTTTTTTTTTTTTTTTTTTGAGACAGGGTTTTGCTATGCAGTTTAGGCTGGCCTTGAGCTTACTTTGTAGCCCAGGCTGGCCTTGAACTTGCAATGATCCTCCTGCCTCAGCCTTCCGAGTGCTGGGCTTTACAGGCGTGCACCACCATGCCTGGCTCCACTCTTTGTTATGGCAGATGTCCTTCAAGATTCCTCCCAGCAGGGCTTTCCTCCTGTCCTATCTCTTGGGGCATGTCCCCTAGCTGTTCTAGGAATGCTGCAGCCAGGGGTGTGGGAGGTGTGGGGGGGTACCTGACACCTGCAGGCTCCTCCTCACCTCACTGTCATGGCCTCAATTCGCACAACATCTGTTTTGATCCATTTGTGCTGCTATAACAATGTCACAGGCTGGGTAAATTTTTTTTCTTTTGTAGCACTGGGGATTGAACCCAGAGTCTTAACATTGAGCTGTGTCCTCAGCCCACTGATGTTTTTTCTTTTGAGACAGAATCTCACTAAACTGCTAAGTTGTCCAGGCTGGACTGGAACTTTCACTCCGCCTGCCTCAGCCTCCTGAGTGCTGGGATTACAGACAGGCTTGTGCTACCATGCCCAGTGGCCTCAAGGGCTTTTATAATTGCCATTTATCCATCATGCACAGAGGGGAACCTTTGTGACTCAACCACCTGCCATCAGGTCCCAACATTGTCACAATGGGAATTAAATTTCCAGCCCTTCCCCTGTAGGGCCCGCATTCAAGCCACAGCAGTGTCCTCTTCTGCAGGATGCTTGTCACCCTGCTAGTGGACTTCTTCCGGTCTGGGCTCAACCTGGTGCCCCGTGAACATCGCAGGAATCTGGTTGCCGTGTTTGCCTAGCGCAAGGCTTGAAGAGCCTTCTTCCCTTGGCTGTGCCCTGTTCCCGCCTGGCCCGCACCCCCACCACTTCCTGTTGCTTACCTGCTCAGCATCCCATGTCTTGTGCACCACGTCCTTCATCCTTTCCTCTGTAGACTCCATCTTTAGGAGGGCAGGGCCCTTACCTGTCTGACCACTGGATCCACAGCAAGAGCATGGCAGAGAGTAGGAGCTCAACATGTGTATGTTGTTGAGTGATTGTTGATTTTCTCCACAGTCTTTGATGAAATATAGTGGGTAAAAAAAAAGTGCACAGCAGTTTTTAATTTTAATTTCTTCTTTGAGGGGTGCTGAGAACTGAACTTTGCACTCAGCTATATCCCAAGTACTTTATGTTTTTTATTTTGAGACAAAGCCTCATAGGTTGCCCAGGCTGGCCTCACATTTGCAGTCTTCCTTCTCAGCCTCCCCAGTAGCTGGGATCATAGGTGCGCAGCCCTGCGGCTGGCTGAACAGTCAGTTTAACACGTGCAGAAATAGCCGTCATGACCACAGGTGTGTAGGATGTTTCCAGAAGAGTTCGCACAATCCTGGTAGCAGCAGCTGCCTCTGGAGAAGGGAGTGGGGGGCGAGCGGGGGTGGACGTAGGAGAAACCTTTTGAATTTAATTCAGATGTCACAAAATGGGGATTTCACTAATGAAAGATTTAGCTCTTTTCAAAAGGCCAGTTCATGGCCTGAGAGGTGAAGCCTCTCTACCGGGGGCACCCTGTCCTCCCTGCCCCCCGACTTCACTGTGGTCTCTTCTCCCAGCCCAGCGGCGCCTGGTTCGAGATGGGGTCCCAGGTCTCTGTGGACACAGGAGCTCTGCATGTGGTGGTCGTGGGCGGGGGCTTCGGTGGCATTGCAGCTGCCAGCCAGCTGCAGGCGCTGAACATCCCCTTCACGCTGGTGGACATGAAGGACTCCTTCCACCACAACGTGGCCGCCCTCCGGGCCTCTGTGGAGAATGGTAATGTGTTCTTTTCCTGGGCTGCCTTCTTAACATGGTCTTTCATCACTGTGGGACATGATTTTCTCCACTTAGGTGGATTCCTACCTGGGTGTGGTGGCACCTGTTTATCATCCCAGCACTCAGGGAGGCTGAGGCAGGAGGATCATAATTTGAGCCTAAAGTGGGCAATTTAGTGATTTAGTGAGAACCTATCTCCAAATAAACTATAAGAAAAGGGTTGTTGCTGGGGATTAGTGTGGTTCACTCGCTAGTCTCTCTCTCTCTCTCTCTCTCTCTCTCTCTCTCTCACACACACACACACACACACACACACACACACACACACACAGTTTGGAGAATCTCACAGCCCTTGGTCTTAAGGAGCTACCATAATGAGGTCCTGAAGTGAAAGCTTGGGCTTTTCCAAGGACCCAGGCGAGCTGGGCACTTTAGGGGCAGTGGGTTTCTAGGTGCACATGCTGGCCCAGCTCTGGAGGGGTGCCCTATTGGTAGACAGCTCAGGAAAGATTTAGCTCAAATCTACACTGTGCCTTCTTCCTTTTTATTCCTCAGGGTTCGCCAAAAAGACTTTCATTTCATATTCTATGACCTTCAAGGACAACTTCCGGCAAGGCCAGGTGGTCGGGATAGACCTGAAGAATCAGACGGTGCTGCTGCAGGGTGGCGAGGTAAGCATGGCAGCGTCCACCTGACCAGAGCCCCTAACGGTCGAGAGAGCCATCCGTGATGCCCAGGTCCGCGCGGTGCTGGACAGGTGGGAGCTGCATCATAGATGAAGGCTTAACCACAGCAGCTGCAAGACACAGTGGCGGTTACTTTGCGAGTCTTTCCTTTATGCCAGGCACTGTCCTAAGCCTGTTTGTAAGTCTCACCAGGTAGGTAGTAACCCTCATTTCAGACAGGTTAAAGGCTTATTATAGGCTTGCCTAAGGTCCTGTAGCTGATAAGAGATGAAACCGGGATCTGAACCTAGGCAGTTCCAGCCCAGAGCCTGTGCCCTGCAAGCCAGTGTCCCAAGTGAGGCCCAGCCCCGGTCATTTGAGGAGGCACAGGCAGGAAGCCACACCCCCTGCCTTGGGAGCTTGGTGCGCAGAGGTCTCTTTCACCTATCTTTGTGGCCTTGCCCGGTGTATAGCACGCCGAGGTCACTGCAAGGACTGGAGCCCCATCCATGTGTGGCCCCAGCCCACATAGCTCGTGGGCTGCTCAACCCCCTGCTCAGTTGTTAAAACTAAAGGCAATCAAGAATAGAGACAAAGCTGGACATGGTGGTGCATATCTGTAATACCAGCACTCAGAAGCCTGAGGCAGGCAGGTTGCTGTGATTGTGAGGCCAGCCTGACAGCAAGACCCTATCTCAAAAAACAAAAACAAAACAAAACAAAAAAATGGAGACAAGTCCTGCCCTTAAGGAGCGAGTGCTTTTGTGTGAACTAATTGGTCATCCCTGAACTCATTTCAGGGCCAGGGAATCTCCTGGTTGGAAAGACTACCGTGTGCCTCCTGGTCCTGTCATTTTGACCCAGGCTTCTCAGAACCTTAGGGCCACCAGGGCATCTCTGGGCTCCATGGGGGAGGAGGGGTCTGGGCGGCCTAGACTCACTGGTCCCCTTCCCGCTGTTTTGTCACTGTTCGGCATTTAGGTTCCAAACAAGACTTCTGCTGTCTCCCTTTCTTCCTCCCATCCTCCTCCACAGCCCGCTTTTGCAGTGGGTGGAGGAAAGAGTTTCTTCTGAAATGTCCAGGAGAGTCTGAGCTCATCCACAGTGGACGCGCACGTCCTGCTTGTTTCCCATTTCACTCTCCACAGCAGTTTCCTGGTGCTTGCTGACCTCCCCATGTCCCATGGAGGCTGGCTCTGCGGCCCAGGCTTTTCCAGGCAGGTGTAAAATTAGGGATCAAGTGCTGTCCTTTGGCCCTGCTTGTGTGTGATTTCCTGCCTCCCAACAGGGCTGCTTCCTTGGTGCCCAGGGGCCTCCTCTAGCCAGTGCTCCTGGGCTCCTGCCCTGTCTTACCCTCGCCTCTCTCCCTGGTCCCCCACAGGCCCTGCCTTTCTCACATCTCATCCTGGCCACTGGCAGCACCGGGCCCTTCCCTGGCAAGTTTAATAAGGTTTGCTGCCAGCAGGCCTCCATCCAGGCCTATGAAGACATGGTGACACAGGTGAGCTGCTGCTGATGGGCCTTGAGCAGGGACAGTTAAGACGACAGCAGGAGGGCTGGGGATTTAGCTCAGTGGCATAGTGCCTGCCTGGCAAGCACAAGGTCGAGAGTTCGATTCCTGGTACCAGAAAAAAAAACAAGATGACAGCAGGCTGGGCAGGGAGCGCGTGGTGAGGGATTCAGCGTGGTAGAGGAAGCTGGGAACTTGGAGAGTTTCTGGGAAGAGATTTCCTGGGAGGAGCCTGGAGACCTGCTTGGTGGTACCCACTCATTCTTCCTGAGGTCTCTGTGGGTTGGTAGAGCAGATTCAGCTCCCGATCTCAGTGAGTTTCACAGCAGTCCTGCGGGGTGGGCAGGAGGACCCCCTGTATGGAAAGAGTGCTCCCCACTTCTTTGGCCAAGGAGTCCATAGGGGCGCGACCACCAGGCAGTGAGAGGCCTGGAGGTGTTTCACGATCTCTTCGTCCGCAGGTCCAGCGCTCAGAGTTCGTCGTGGTGGTGGGAGGAGGCTCCGCCGGAGTGGAGATGGCGGCCGAGATCAAAACAGACTACCCAGAGAAAGGGGTGAGGCTGCCCGCCGCCTAGGCTTTCCGCTTTACCTTATGAATATTAGGAATTTTCCCGGGGCCTGGGAGGCTGGCGTTCCGCTCACTTCAGCTGAGTCTGTTTCCCATCTTGTGCTGAAGCATGAAACTTCTGCAGGAAGTTTCCCCTGACAGCCAGGATCCTATGGCTCCTGACCTCCCAGCGCCACTGCGACTGTGTCCCCAACCAGGAGGGATTCTGCCGTCTGGTCCAGCAGGGAAGGTGAAGCCCAGGGAGAGTCCTTACAAAGATGACTTGTTGTGTGCCTTAGGGATTCAGGCTTTCTGATAAAACCTAGAGTTTGATGATCTCTTCTTGCTGGCAGCCGGTTTGGCCAAGCACACTGTCAGTTGCTTCTTGGCCCCCTGCCCTGGACAGCACATTGTGGCCCATGCCAGTGGCAGTGGGGGGGCAGCCCCTCGCCTACCCACTTTGGGATGACTGCTGTAGATGCAGGCAGCCTTCTGACAGCCCCTGGAGCCTGCGCATGGCTCTTTTTTCTGTAGGGAAAGGCAGGTTGGTTCTGAAAGAGAAACTTAATGATGACTGATGGAATTATATGACTGTTCTCTGACAGATTGTTGGAAATTACGAGTGATTAATACAGTTGCAGGTTATTCATTTTGCTTTATAAGAGTTGTGTGGGGAAAACCTCCTTATTCTCTGTGCTCGTCCTCAACACTTCTGTGACGAATGTGTGGGGTTTGTTCCCACACCAGCCAATTCCCTGTATGGAGTTTGGGAGGCTTCACCGTGTAGACCTGGTGGGTTGTGAACTCGGTCTCCAGCTCCTCTCCCTTTCCTGGAGGTTGGGGGTAGGGATGGGTTTTCTGTTTTTTGTTTTTTGTTTTTCTCCGGTACCGGGAACCGAACTCACGACCTTGCTCTTGCCAGGCAGGCGCTTTTGCCGCTGAGCTAAATCCCCGGGGGTAGGGATGGGACTGAAGGTTCCAAATTCCCATCCTGGCGGCCAGGCCCCGTCCAGGAGCCAACCAAGAGTAGCCTCATTAGAACCCAAGATGCTCCTATGACCCCAGAAATGCCAAGGACTCAGGAACTCTTATGTCAGATGCCCCTATCAATCAGGAAATTACAAAGGTATTAGATGCTTTGGATCGGGAACCAAATATTAGAACAAAAGATATAGCCAGCACCCCTGTCTACAAGTGTTTTAGAAGCTCTGTGTCAGGAACAAGATATATATTTTTAAAAATATATTTATATAGACCTATATATTTATATGTATATTTGAATATCTATATATTTATAATTCTTATTATATCACAGAGGTCAGAACTAGTCAACAAGTTCAAATAAAAATATAGTATCTGTATGCCTATACTTAATAGGAAGATTAGAGTAATATAGCTGCTATTCTTTATTGAGGAATTAATATGTCCTGAGTTAACTCTTTCATATATATTTTTTCATTCATCACAAAATTCTAGAGGGGGACTTTTATGCCCATTTTAGTGAGTCTTTGGGAGCTGTGTGAGCTGCAGATATGGGATGTCAACCCAGGTCGTCTGGTTCAAAGCCAGGCTTTGGACATGGTCACAGGCTGTGCAGCACTCCCCGCTCCCCCTGCCCTGTGCTGACCTAGGCAGCAAGCAGACCCAGACGTACTGCTCTTATTTTTTCAGTTTTAAAATTTGTTTTGGTACTGGGAATCGAACTCAGGACCTTATGCTGCCAGGCAGGCGCTGTGCTGCTCAGCTATATCCCCGGCCCCATGCTGCTTTTAGCACCAGCTATAGTATTGACCGTGGGAATGCCTATAGTATGTATACAAATTAACTAATTATAAGCACCCAACGATGCTTGAAAATCCTTGCCAACTTGGCCTGGGTGAGGTGTGGGTTGTGGCCCACTGGGACCATGGGTGGCAGTCCAGCTAGCCCCGGGGCATCAAGGTGGTACTGAAAGAGATGTAGACTAGGCGATGTGGTTTGAGCTTCGCTTCTCACTAATTGGTTCTAGTGCTGTGCAGATTACTTCTCTGGCTGTTTCTCGTGCAGCAAAGTGGAGGTGGGGGAGGAGGTGGGTGTTCCTGTGAGCCGCATACTCAAGGGTTGTCCTGTGGTTGTTTTGTCCCTAGGTCACTCTCATTCACTCCCAAGTAGCCCTGGCCGATAAGGAGCTCCTGCCCTGTGTGCGGCAGGAAGTAAAAGAGATCCTCCTCCGGAAGGGCGTGCATCTGCTGCTGAGTACGTGTGACCTCACCCACTTCTTTGCCACCGTATCCGGGGTTCATCAGGGAGGACCCGAAATGGTTTTGAGCATCAGAGCTCATGTGAACCTTGTCCAGCTGGAGGCCCAGGCCATGGAGGCAGCAGTGCCCTGGCTGTTGCTTCGGGCACAGGGAAGATAGTAGATGCCTATTTGTTGAATGATTTTTTTTTTAAGTGCATCTGAAGGAGTTGCCTTATTTTGCTCTCTGTGGTAGAGGGAGTAAGCTTGTTGGTTTGTATTTTGAGGGTGGGGAGCGTACCTTTTGTCCGGTGGTGTGACGCCCACACTTTACTATGCTGGGCCTCAGCCTCTGTATGTTTGTAGAGAAGAGATTGGGGCCTGGGGGTGTCTGTTATGACAGTCCCTCACGGCTGTCACAGCCTCCTGTGGTAACTGGTCATGGAGGACTGCTAGCGCCTTACCGTCAGGGCATGAGGACAGGAAGTCAGCTTCTGCCTTTCCCTGCCTCCCCTTTGTGGGTGGTGCTCTGGGGGGTGACCTCCTGTGCAGACAAGGGAGTGGCTGTCACTCAGGGACATATGCTGGCATCTTCTGTTGATCAGCTCTCTAGAACTTCTTGGAAGCTCAGCCTCGTTTCCCTACAGCCAGCTCTTGGAATTTTCCTCCAGCTGGGTCCTTTGGGCCCGGACATCCACACTGTGCCTCTTGGGCAGTAGAGGGGACTGAGGAGGAGCCTGTGCCAGCCTTCCTCTGTTCATGGACCCTCTGATAGGTGAGCGGGTGAGCAACCTGGAGGAGCTGCCTCTTAACGAGTATCGGGACTACATCAAAGTGCAGACGGACAAGGGCACCGAGGTGGCCACCAACTTGGTGATTCCCTGCATTGGCATCAAGATCAACAGCTCTGCCTACCACAGTGCTTTCGGTAAGCAGGTGGCCCAGGCATCACCTGTGTCCCCAGGCCACCTCTCACTCCCCAGCACTCCTTTGCGATGCCTGTAGCCTTTTCCTCCCAAATCAGCACCCCCTGCCTTTCTCCTTCATCCCGGCAGCTCAGTATCTTCTAAAGGGTGACCTTGAACTTGAACTTCTGGGTGGGGTCCCCGCTTTGGGAGCTTTCCACAGCTGTGATAATGGTTTAGGTGGGCTGAGACCAAAAGGATACCAATTTAGGGCTGCCTCCTAGTGGTAAGTGGTGGGAACAAAAGATTCCATTGCGCTTCTGTACTTTCCTTTTTCTGTAGATGCGGAGGCCGTTCTGGGCCAGGCCTTTTTCTGCTCACAGGTGTCCTGGTCACTTCAAATCCAGATAAAAACATTTGGCTAATTTAGCTTGCAAGACCATTTAGGGGATAGGGGCTCTAATATGGCCTCATTTCTTAAAACGCAACATTTATCTGTTCAGCGGCTGGTAGGTGGAGGCCTGCTGGACTGATGCATGTCTAAGCCTTTGTGTGAGTAGGAGACTCAGTGGCCAGGCTCTGTGGTTGCTTTATCCCCAGGTCTCTGTCATTTATTTCTGAGTACCTTTCTCCAGCCGGGACCTCCTGCCTTGTGTCCAGCAGAAGTGATTATTCCATGCCCAGGAGGCCAGTCCTGGCTGTGCACCAGGGTGAGAACAAAAGCTTATAATGGGTTGAGAACCCAGAATTTAGCACCTAATGATCCTAATTTGTATTTTCAAAGATAAGTTCTGTTGAGTCCCTTAAAAAGAAAAGCAGTTGATCATGTATTAAAGGCCTGTGCTTATTTTAAAATTCCAGTCTATGATGAAGTGGGAATTTAGGACTTGCCAATCACTATAACTGGCCAAGCTCTGTGCTTGTCCTGGGGATAAGCTTGCCTTCGCAGGAAGGGTCTGTGTGCAGGAATGCAAGGGGAAGATGGCCTCCTGTGGGTGACTGGGCCAGTGCGGGCCCAGTGTGGCCACTCAGGGGCCTGCTTGGGGTATCGTCTTGCCCACAGAGAGCAAACTGGCCAGCGACGGGGCTCTGAGGGTCAACGAGTTCCTCCAGGTGGAGGGCTACAGCAACATCTACGCCATTGGCGACTGTGCCGACGTGAAGGAGCCCAAGATGGCCTATCACGCTGGCCTCCATGCCAACGTCGCTGTGGCCAACATTGTCAACTCTATAAAGCAGAGGCCCCTTAAGATCTACAAGCCAGGTAAGGAGGCTCGGGTGTGTCATGGTTTTTAGACTTTGGGGGTACAAGTGGGGAAATTCTTTTTGGGCTACAAGATGACTGATCATCATACCAAGTTCTCAAGGCTGCTGACAGGAACATCACCCGGAAGTTCTTTAAAAATCAATTAGGGAGCCGGGCATGGTGGTACATGCGTGAATCCCAGCACTCAGGGAGGCAGAAGTAAGGGGACTGCAAGTTTGAGTCCAGCGTGGGCAACTTAGTGGCTTAGTGAGATCGTGCATAGAAAAGGCATGGATCAGCCAGGGACTCATCCACCTTCCTAAAAGTCATGCATATTTCCGAGTTGGCAGGTCTGGGAAGGGTTTGTGCTCTGGGAATCACAGGCCCACCCATGACCTAAAGCAAGATTCCACTTTATGTGTGTGTTTCTGCCCCATAGGTGCACTGACATTCCTCCTGTCCATGGGCAGAAATGACGGCGTGGGCCAGATCAGTGGCTTCTATGTGGGTCGGCTCATGGTTCGGCTGGCCAAGAGCAGGGACCTGTTCATCTCCACAAGCTGGAAAACCATGAAGCAGTCTCCACCCTGACAGGGAGGCTGGGCAGGAGGTCTGGCACCGCTGCGCATGGGTGAGGGACTTTGACAAATGGACCCACCTGACCTGTGCCAAAGGGCAGAAGCGCAAAGCTGCTTTCTCTGGAGTGAGGTGTTGGCGATGTCCTGTCTGGAAATATAACTTGTGTAAATCCAAAAATGAGAGAGTGAGTGTGAGAGCGAGTGACAGATGTAAAAAACCATGTCTAGAGGATCCTTTCTGGGTCTGAAAGGTCTGGCTGCAGCTGTACTGTCTCGGGAGGGGCACAGGCAGCCTTCTGTACTCAGGCTCCAGGGGATTTGCATGAGCAGCACACGCGTGTGTGTTGGGTGGCTTCAGTGTGGTGATTGGAGCTCGCAGGGTAGGGAGAGAGTGGGGGCTGGTGGCTGCCACCCTGTCTGTGAGTGCTGAAGGACACCCTGCAAAATGAGGCCAGCTGAATAGGGCCACCAGGGAGAGACGTCTGCACTCCGCACCTTTCCCATCACACTGGGGTGGGGGAGCCCACACCCTGCAACAAGCAGCTTGTTAACAGAAGCCTCATTTTAAACTCCCTGGATTATGGTTAGTGCCTCCCCGCCCCCCCCCCTCACTTCTTTGAGACAGGGTCTCACTATGTTACCCAGCTTGGCCTTGAACTCCTGGGATCCTCCCAACTTAGCCTTTCGAGTAGCAGGGACTACACGTGCATGCCCCCACACCCTGGCAGCCCCTACACTCTCCAGTCTTCACGGACCTTCCTCTATTTCCATTTTTAGATCCTAACTATATACCATGGGTACTTTTAAGAAGAAAGTTACTGTATACAGTTTCCCTCCTGGCTAGCCCAACAGCTTGCTGGAGCTGGCAGGGCTGAGGCCACAGCCTGGCCGTCCCTCTGTGGGAATTTTCCAGGAAAGGCAGCAGAGACGTGGGACCTGCTGGTAGGCGTCGATCAACCTTCAGGGAGTAGACAGGCTTCGGCAGGAGGTTCAAACGTATTTCCAGGTTACTGGCACAGGTAACTTTGTAAGTGACAAAATCCAGCTGATGCCGAGGGACTTTGTTTTGTGCTTCTGGTTTCTCGGCCAACCCCAGTGTTACTTGCCTGCAGGCCCAGCCGTGTGGCAGCCTGTGTGCCGCTGACTGTGGTAAGGTGTGTCAATGACGCCTCTATATAGAGAGGTCTTCCAGAGTGGAGGCGTCTATTTTGGACCACCTCGGTAATGTTTGTGGCAGAAGAGGTTGCTGAATTCATCTGAGAGAATTCAGGCCTGACTGTCCTGCTCTTCCTGGCTGGTTTTTGATGATGGCCTTTGGGTGCTGGAGCAGAGTCCTTCAGAATCCCACCTCTCTGGGGTTCTCAGTCCATCTCCATTTAGGCAGAGCCCCAGGGTATGTCTCACTTTGCTGCCCAGGCCTAAGTGAGACATGTGCCTTTCCCAGACGGTGACCCTACTGGTAGCTTGGTCCAAGGCTTTTGCCCTGTAGCTGGACCTGCTGCCTGAGCCAGCACCTGGTGTAGCACGGTGGGAACCTCAGCCCATTAGTGACAGGCCTAGAGCTACTGACTTAGAACATTGTAGAAGCTTCTATCCACTGGGATCTAGTTTTCTAAACAGGAGAAAATTTGCAAGAAAAGAACATGTTATAAGAAAGACACTGGATCTTTTTTTTCCTTTCATTTTCTTTAAAAAACAAAATGAAACCAAACCAAAAATAAGCCCGAAGCAAAAACGATTTAGGAGTAGTTACAGATATTATAGGGGCCAGGAGGGGCGGGAGGGGCGGGAGGGGGCACGGAAACAAGAGAAAAGCACCAGTGAGACGTCTTTCCCGTCTTCTCTCCACCATGGAACACAGGCAGCCCACGAACCCAAGTCACCCTCATACCCTCTTCCTTTGGAGATAGGAGGAACAAAAGACTTAAGAATCTTGAAAGGATTTTTCTGTTGAGTGTGTGTAAAAGTCGATGCTATAAATCTAAAACGAGGTCTGATTTTTTTTTTAAAAAAAGTTCTAAAACAACTGGAAGAAAACATGGAAAAAACCCCTGGTGGAGACTTGGTTAAGCATGGACCAAGGCCCTTTGTAAGGAGAAGATAAAGCGCAGGGGGCGCCTGCTGTGGGCAGGACCTGCTCTCACTGCCTCTGCTGCCCATGTCCCTCTCAGCTGCCCTCTGCTCCCCTGCTGTCACCCTTCTTCGCTCCTTTTAAAAGATAAAACCCCACTCTTGTGACGTGATGTCGCTCCTCCATCCCTGTGGAGCGCGGCTACTTGGTGTCGAGCTTGGCCATCTCCTGCACATAGATGCCGATGCTCTCACTGTCGAAGAGCAGGAAGTACACGTTCTTCAGGGACGACACGCTGGAGTCATCAAAGTGGGCGGAGATTGCCTTGAGGGTCACCTGGGCTGCTGTCTGTTTGGGAAAGCAGTTTCTGTGCCAAAGCAAAAGGAAAGTCCATGTCACTTTGGTCCCTGAGACCCACTGGGTGATGTGTATGGGCTCAGTGTGTGTAGGGCTGGTCCAGTAGCATCTCTCCAGGGGCCAGCCTGGGGAGGAGCAGGCGGGGGGCGGGGGTGGGGTCAAACACTGATTTCAGCAAAGTCGGAGTGGGCAGGTGAGGAGTGTTCTGTATTGGAATCTGTTACCTGAATCAAGTAGAATTTGGCTGAAAAAGCCCTAACAATTCAGGATTCACAAGACCTGGTCATCAAAAAGCAAACAGATGGCCGGGCATAGTGGTGCAGGCCTGTAACACTTGTACTTTGTGAGGCTGAGGCAGGAAGATTGCAAGTTTGACCCCAGCTTGGTCACTTTAGTGATTCAGAACTTAAAAAAATTTCAGAAAGGGCTTAGTATGAAGGATGTGGGTTGAATCCGTAGTATAGCAAAAACAAAAAGAAAAACAAAACAAAAACCAGGAAAGCAAATACAGGGTGTTTTTTTTTTAGCTTCCTCAAAATTGCTTTACATGCTAACTAGATTGTTTAATAAGGGCAAAAATGTAGGCTCAAATTTGCCTTCAAAATTCCTTTTCATGCATGTGGTATCTCTCATTAACTCACAAAGACCTGCCAGTGTAATTTCAGCAGCGGCTCTGGGTGGGGCCTTGACAGTGCTGTCCACCAGCCTCCAGGGACACAGCCATAGCACCATTTGGGGTCAGCCAGTAAGACGCTGGGGAAAGCCCAGGACGGGCCTGTCTCAGGCAGATTCTTCTGAGTTTCCCTGTATGGGGTACAAACTTGGGCTCCCACCTATGGAGACTGTCCCACTGTGCGTCTGGGCCTGGGCTGTGGAGGGAGCCAGCACTGCTTGCTGTGGGGAGATGATTCCAGCAGGACCGGCCTTTAAGCCCTCTCTTAGCCTTCTCAGGATCAGAGCTGTGCTACAGAGCCAGCCCCTCCTAAGTAAGTCTGCAGGCAGCCTGTCACCACGCTGGGTGTGTTCCTCAAGCTGGTGCCTCCTGGTGCTACTGTCCCCCTGTGGATTCTAAAGCAGAAGGTCTTGGGGAGGATGCTGCGGGGATGCACTCTGACCAAGCCATGTTGCTACTGCTGGTCCATGGACCACACTTGGAGGAACAAGGCCTCTGAGCCTGGTTTCTGATGCGCCCTAGACGGCCAGCTGGTGTGTGCATGTGTGTGTGTGTGTGTGTGTGTGTGTGTGTGTGTGAGGGCTTTGAACCCAGCAGGCTCTCAGACATTACCAGCCTACCTTGCCTCTGCCTGTGGTGCCTCTTCTTTGGAATGCTGACATAAAGGAGGCAGTGGAGCTGGTCCCAGCTATGGAGAGCAGCCACCATGGATGGCGGGGGAGTACTCTCTGTGGGCTGGAAGGTGGGAAACTGGGGTGCTTACTCTGTCGCCCACGCTTGGTAGCCCTTGGCTGGGCAGAGTGAGGGTGAGCAAGTCGGAATGGCTGGTTCCCAGGGACAAGGCTGAAAGAACCCATTGGGAGGAGCTCGTTTTACCTGCCGCTGGGGAAGGGTGGGAAGGCGACAGACTTCAGCTTCTTGTCCTCAGCTGCTGATAGGCAGTTTTTGATGGTCTCTTCAAGCTGTTCTTCACATTTGTCAGAGCCCCACTGGGGGATGTGACAGTGGATGACAAATTTAGCGGCAAGTCCACTGGATTGGCTGACAGCGGCTAGGACATGGGCGAGAGAGGCTGCAGGTCATTTCCCAAGTCTTACCTCAAACCTGAGTAGGATAGGGGTGGGAATGGGAGGTTGAGCCCCCTTCTCTGCCTGTTGCACTCACGGGGGCCAGGATGTGACAGGAAGGTGGGCTGACAACATTCCCCGCGTCCATGCAGACCATTTACCAAGGAGTGGGAGCTGCTGGGCTGTAGTGGACAGCGGCACAAGCTCTGGGTGAAAGCGTGTCATGTTGCTGGGACAGACTGCATGTCACTTATGTGTGCTCTGGGGATCCCACTGGATCCTGGGTCAGGAATTGACTCACTGATTCTTAGTCAAAGGAGCACAGCAGTATCATGTCTGGTGCTGTGGCAGGTTGAGGAGTGGCCTGCCTCAAACGCCACTTCCTGAGTCCTAATCTGTGGGACCTGTGGATGCCCAAAGAGGTCTTGCAGATGTGATTAAGTTAGGGAGCTTGAGATGGGAGATGACTCTAAGTTATTTGGATGGGCTCTAAATGGAATCATGAGGGTGATGCACTATGTCACACTGGTCCCATACCAGCTTGTAAAGTTCTTGAAGGAGTGTTAGGGACGTTCACATCCATACCTGGTGCCACCAGCCTAATCCTGTTATAGGTGCTTAACATGAACTGGCTCTGACCCAGAGAACATCTTTGAGGAGGTGCTTACTGTGTTCCCTGATGCTTCCCTGGTTCCCAGAGCAGCATCTGGAAGGACAGGAACTCCAACATTCACTGAGTTTGACTTTCCACCCCGCTGCTCCATCTGCAAACCTGAGATCCGCCTTTAGCTTTCCCTTCAGACCGCGCGGCCATCACTGCCTCTCTCTGGTATTGCTCCTGACATATCTTCCTGATCCACCCCCACTGCACCTCCTGCATCAGGACAGCCTGCCCTGGAGTTGGTCTACTTTACCTATGCTAAGGTGCACTTTTAAAAAAAATCACTTTTAATATATATTTTTTTCCTTCAGTGCTGGGGATAGAACCCAGGGCCTTGCTCATGCTAGGCAGTACCCGACCACTGAGGTACATCCCCAGCCCATGTAATATCTTTTTATTGATTTTACTTCACTATCTTTGACACTAGGAGATATTTTACAATTGCTGCCAGGTTGGAATAAAGCTGAGCTCTTCCAGAAAAAATCTTGTGCTTCCTCCTACGTCACCTGGAGATACTAACAAATGGAAGTCATGCCCCACTAACTTCTCCACCCCTGAGGCCTTGGCAGAGTTGGATTCATCTGCAAATCTGTAGAGATACTGGCTTGTGCTTCAAATTCAGTAACAAGGTTTTTATGCCTTCTCTGCCATCCCATAACAAGGTCAAGATAAGTCCTTGCTGCCCTGGGTTCCTGTTTTGCTCTTGAACTGCATGTCAACCTCATTTTGGAAATTCAGTCTTTCTTAGTGGCACGTACAATAAGGGCATATCTTAGAACTGAGGGTGTTTTTAGAATGAAATGAAATGAAATACTATGTGAGAGCCTCAGGAACTGTTTCCCTTTTTCTTCCTCCCAGGGTGCTACCCCTTACAGGCCCAGGCTGCGGAGATTTAGACCTAAGGCATTTGTGCCGGCTTCTTCGTTCCTCGCTGTTTTCTGCAGCCCCCTCTTTCCCTTTGCGTCACTTCCTGTTCCTTGCCTCTTAGCTTTTGCACGTCTGGAATTAGGTGTCTTTCACCTTCACTCTTGAATGACAACAGAAACATGGAATTTTGGCTTGAGGGTACTTTGTAGATGATCAGCAGTTAGAACATAATCATTTTTCTTCTGTTTCCAACTAAATTTGGTTGCTGATGAGTTGGCTGTCATTAGAGGGTCCCCCTCTCCCTTTTTTTGTGTGTGTGTGTGTGTGTGTTGGCTGTCATTAGAGGGTCCCCCTCTCCCTTTTTTTGTGTGTGTTTTTGGGCATGGAATCCAGGGCCTCATGCGTGGTAGGCAAGCACTCTACCACTGAGCCATGGTCTGGCCCTAGATTGTCATTACTTTTATGACCCACCTTTCCCCTCTCCCAGTTCCCTTTTGGGTTTCTCATGGTCTTTGAGCTTCTGAATCTTCACTCTGATGGGCCAGGCTTTGAATTTATTTTCATGTAGTTATGCCAGATATTTTCAACCTGAGGACTCATGTTTAATTCAGGAAAATTCTCAGCTATGATCTTCTTAACTACTGCATCTCTACCTTCTATTTTCTGCCTCGGAGGCTCTGTTTAGAAGTGTGTCAGAGCCTCTCACTCCATGCAGGCTCTTACTTCTCACACCTCAACTGTCAGGCTGTTTGCTGGGAGCCTCCCTAGAGTCCTGGTCCAGGTGCAGCCTGACATGGCTGATTTCTCATGACTGGTGATGTGGTCCATCTAGACATTGAGGCTAAGTGGGCCTGGACTTGGGTAAGGAGTTCTCTGTTCCCTTCTTCTATCTTAGGAAGGCAGATTTTATGAAAACCACAGTCCTGAGTGGTGGTCAGAGCTTTGGCGTCCTGAAAGGCTGTGTGAGTTTCATCCAGCCCCTCACTCTGAGCAGTGGCTCTTAGCCTGGCTCTGGTCCCTTCTAAGCAAGAAGCAACTCTGGTCCATTACCAAGCGAGAACTAAGGTGGCTTGGCCCTGTGACTTTCTTTGCCTATCGCTGCTGCCTACAGTTTTTCAATTTCCATCCACAACTATGCTTATCTTACAGTTGAGTATAGCTGTCTTAACATTTAAAAAAGGAAATCTTACCTATTGTTGCATATACAGGGGATGGTATGTGCAGATCTAAAGTAGTGACTCATGCTCTTTCTTGACGAGAAGCCCCCCGCTTGCTTTTCTAACAACCTTGTCTGATCATGACAGTCCCTGCCTTAACTTCAAGGTAGCCTCTCTGGTCTGTACAGGGACAGAGCAGACCCCTGTGCACAGCCTGTGGGTTTGGCATCACATCTGGCTGCTGTTTCCTTCCTGTATGTTCATGACCAGGGTCCACATGGGCCCCCTCCACACAGCAGAGGCTGTGGCTCCCTCTCTGTGCTGCGCTTATGCACCTAGGGACAGCAGTGGGTTTCAGGGATCTCCGAGGCCCTGGCTTTAGTGCAGCGCTTGATGCAGACCATGAGTACAGTGAGCATACTGATGGGATTGTGTGGTGCAAACAGACTCTGAAGCTGGATGCACCTGTCAGAAAGTTACCACACAGACACCTGGGCAAAATGATCACAGCAGCTCTACGCGTGGGAGCCAGAGGCGGAAATGAGCCAAACCCCCATCAACAGATGGATAAATGCAGTGGAGAGTCAGTCCTACAGGAGAGAAGTACAGATGTCTGCTACAGTGTGGATGAACTTAAAAAATACTATGTTAAGCAAAGGAAGGCAGACACAGGCCATGCATTGTAGGACTCCATTTATATGGGATGTTCAGAATAGGCAGGTCCATAGAGACAGAATGTAGATTAGAGGTTGCCAGGACCTGGAAGAGGGGTGTGACTACTAAATGACATGAGGCTTCTACTGAGATGATTAAAAGAAACCTTCTGGATTAGATAATGATGATGGCTGCATGACATTGTAAAAGTACTTAATGCTACTGAATTAGACACTTTGAAATAGTTACACAAGTTGATTTTATGTTATATGTATTTTACTGTGCACACAAAAAATCAACACAATGGCTGTAGACCATTTTGGGGGTATCTGGGCACATGAACTAGTCAGATATTTTATAGTTCCCAGAACATATGAAATCATCCACAGTAAAGTGGAACAGAGGAGGCTGTGCAAGGACTGAGAGGAGCCAACTGTACACGGGACTGGTGGCAGCCTCAGGCTGTCTCTGTCTGAGGGCGCCACAGCAACTGGGAGAGAGATGCACAGACAAGGTTAAGGAGGAGGCAAGCCACCAAGGCACACCCGGAAATTTACTGGCTGAACTCTGGCCCCAGACCCTCACAACCAGAGGCCAAGATCAGCCCTGCATCCAGCATTAATCCTACTGCAGGCTTGGTGGGGTTACGCAGCACAGATCTGTGCTCTGACTTGAACACATCATAGAATGGTGGACACCAGGGGAACTTTATTATTATTATTTTCTCTTTGTTTCATTTTCTTTTTCTCTCTGGCTGTCTTTTCCTCTCTCTTTTTATTGTTTGTTTTGATCTCCTTTGCTCTGTATTCCCTCAACTTTCTTTCCTTAATTTTTGATATTTTCAAGCAAATGAACACTATCTGTAGTCTTCCTAATTCACTTCAACATTATTTTGCTTTCTCCTTTACTCTTTCTCTCCTGTCCTCTTCAGTTTCTCAAAGCTTGGGTGATCATCCTTTGTCCTCCAGCCTTGCTTCTACTGTATTTCTTTTCATGTACCTCTCTGCTTTGTCCCCCATTCCTCTTAAATCCCCCCACCAAGGTAAAATCATTCAGCTAAGGGGAAACTCATTGCATACAAATTCCTGGTTTATGATGCATTTTGTTATATAACTAGATTTTGCCCTTATGGCTAAAGGCATCAAATTAATAGTTACCACAGTGTGTCAGTTTCTAGTCTGTGCTTGATGCCACTGTTACTGCTATTTGTACTACTTTAGTCATGGTGTCATACCTGTTGTAATCAGTTGTTCTCCCTTGTAATGTGATTGTTTGTGGTCATAACCATCACCATAGTCCAGTACCAAAGGACTGGGTGCTGAGCCAAATAGATGGCAACTACTCATTCCTAATAAATTGGGAAGGTAGGACCTTGGGATAGCACAAAGGCCAAGAACCAGCTACACATCGAAGACATCTCTAAGGAACAGACATTTCTTTGGGAAGCCTCTATAGTAGTGATAAACTATCTACCATAGGCAATTTA